ATGTGAATGAATATCTATTCATGAAAACATATACACACACATACACACACACATACACACACACACACACACACACACATTCTCTCTCTTTCTCTCTCTCTCTCTCTCTCTCTCTCTCTCTCTCTCTCTCTCTCTCTCTCACTCACGCACACACACACACACACACGCAGATATATATATATATATATATATATATATATATATATATATATATATATATATATATATATATATATATATGTATACATACATATAAGCGTGTGTGTATATATGTATATATATATATATATATATATATATATATATATATATATATATATAAGTATACACACACATGCACAGATATAAATGCGTGTGTGTATGTATATATGTATTATATGTATATATATACATATAATATATAAATAGATTCCTCGCCGCGGCATTCGTAAAAATGCCATATAACCTCTCAACAGTGAATTGAGAGAGGCCTATGTCCTGCAGTGGCTGTGTATATATATATATATATATATATATATATATATATATATATATATATATATTTATGTGTGTGTGTGTGTGTGTGTGTGTGTGTGTGTGTGTGTGTGTGTGTGTGTGTGTGTGTGTGTGTGTGTGTGTGTGTGTGTAGCCTGAGGTTGTCTGAAATGGACTCTGAAAGACTTGAACCCCAAGCGGCAGTGGAGAAGATTGTATCCCTCGGCAAATCCAAGGGCCCGGGTGTGGATGAAGGCGACACCAGTTAGCCCATCGAAAAACGCGCCGAGGAACTTGACAAAGGCTATAGGAGCTACCGCAGAAGCAACAACTCACGGAGGTTTTGCAAGTGACGCGGAGGTTTATCTTGAAGGAAAAGCTGGGAGTGTGGGAGAAACTTCCAGACATTATTTAAAACGCCCGAAAAAAAAGTTACAAACATACAAACTGACATACTGATACAAAGTTTTGAAAAAAAATAATTTCACATAATAAAGCCGATATAACGATATAAAAAAATAATCAATATACTGGTGGACTTTTAATGACAAGTTTTAAATGAAATAGAAAAAGTACCTGACAATATTGTATTCATCCTTCACTTCGCAAGGCTGTGGAAACTTTCAAATATATTTCTCAGATTCAAATTCAATTTTTCTTATCATATCCATTTTTCTTCCCAATGAATATGTTGCTTTAAGTGTGACATCATGTCATATCCACCATGAATGAGATCCACGTTTACATAAAGTCCGAACTTCAAATAACTGGCTAATTCCAATGATCACAGGTACTTACTTACGTCTTAGTGCCTGTAATGTATCAATAGATCAAGGCACACTTCCTTCCCTTTGATATTTTTGGGCCTGTAAGCGGGGATTTCATTTAGAGGGGGGCGGGGGAGACTCTGATTACCCTTTATTACTATTATAGCTATAGTCGTAGCTTTATTAGAATTAGTTTTTTTTTTCTCTCGAGGTGGCTCACAGCGCCCCAGAAATTGAATGTGCTCACTTCCGTCATCAGCCTTGCGCCCCCTCCCCCTAATAAAACGCTGAAATGACCCCCCTGCCTGTGAGACGAAGAATGTCTTTGAAAACAATTATTCTATTGAAGTCAATACCACGTCATATTATTCGGACGCGCTGGAAATTCTTGCCGAGTCGTTTCAGAATTGACTTCAAATTTTACATATATAGAGAGAACTTGCATCTGATGTATTGCTAAAAAGGCACAGGAACATGCGCTTTTATATAAGAATTTTGTATCAAGACACATACAAATGCAAATCGTAATTAATGAAAATATAAATACCTACCTTACACTATGTGAAAGATATCTAAAAAATATCGCGCTTTGATTGTCTGGCCAGAGTGTATCACATTGTATCAAAGTAAAGGTATACAAAACAAAAAGGTGTTTCAACAGGTTCCAATAATGTTTGTGAAAACATGTTTGAGAATATATCGCCGAGTTAGGGATTTCGGTGATGTTATAACAAAGCCTTACATGTCTCTATATTATAATTTTGTTTGTTTTGTTTTTTCCATTACCCATACAGACTGCAGACTTCAGTTCATTTTGGTGTAAACTGTCATGATGACTGACATTACATTAAAGAATGAAACATACACACATGCATGTGAGCGCGAGCGCGTGCTCTGAAGATGAACGATCCAGTCGGCATAAAAAAACAGTTTCGCAGTTTCTGTGAAAGGAGGAGGGACTCGAAGCCGACGAGTTTTTAAAATCTAGAACCTTTCCTAAATCAGTAATAGTCTTCATAAGTGGAAACAAAAGCAAGATGCAACAGATATTTCCTCGCAATTATCTTCCGATTGCTTGTTGTCTCAGCAAGACTAACAGCATCAAATCAAATATTGTCGAGATAATATAAACAAATCCAATACGATTCTATAAAGCTTGGGACCATGTAACAAAATAAGTGAGTCCAGATAAGGATAAGTATAAGTCAGATATGCAAAAGCCGAGTCTCGCCCTGGGTATGCCTGTAAGGGGAGCCCAGCTTGTGAACGACTAATACCCACTCGAAGAACGTGAGTCAGCACTCAAGCTTCTCCGTGGTGCATGAAACCTATGTTGAAAGTTCTCGTGCCTGGGCGGGACGGAAACCGCCAACCTTAACCACAGAATCAAATCTGAATTCCTGGAAAAAAATGAAATCCTTGATGGCGCTCAGGCGATTGGTCGATGCTGCTGTTGTGCGTGACTCAGTATCGGTTATTTTGCCAGACCTCCTTGAACTCTAGCACGAAATTTGTTTCACAAATAGGTAGAAGTGTGAAAGTGATTGACGTCTAACGTGTATAAGAAAATACATGTCAGAATAGGAACACACTTGAAACTTGAACAAGTATTATTTTTGTTTGTTTGGTTACCATATCATGCTATTTCCCTCTAGATGAGTATAAAAAGAAGTCATTGACTCATAGACTACGAGAGATTGCCTTTGGAATAGCCAGGAGTTGGCTTGATCAGTTCTGCAGGGCTCTTTCCTCGAGTCTTTGTGTAACTTCTACACATAGCCTGGCCTGCTCGTATGATATCTCTGAGATTTGGCAATGTTGCTTTTCAGAGCTATAAAACTCCGCTGCCGTTGGATTTTTCTGGGATCCTTCTTTAGTTGGAACATGTTGAATGGAATAAATATTCTCTGTGACCTTTTCCCCGCAACGCATTACTTTAAATGAATGATGGCATTTGTCAATGCGTCTAAATTTCTGGCAGGCGTAACAACGCCTAGGAACAAGTTGGCAAGGCAGGACCTACATTGCATGCCGCCATTTTCTGACGTGAGTTCGGGTGTGTTTAGCTCTACGTTCCCGTCCGGATTCCATTCACTGTTGCCATTCTGTTTGCTATCTCTCTCTCTGTAAAATTTCTTCTGAATACTTTACTAGCTTATTTTTTAAGATATAATTCCTTTAGCTGGGTAAGAATACTACTAGCAGATACTGAAATACTTGCTTTGTTTCAGGGCTTACGATCTTCCTTGCCTGCATTTTGGTAACTGCTAGTAGAAGTATGTTCTCCATGGTTTGTCGGATGTTGTTTGGCCGTTTACAGTTGTGGTGGCTTCTCCGAAGATTTTGAAAGTGGATATTTTTCATTGTCTTTCAGCAGAGGAACTCAACAATGGGAGGGGGACCATTTTCATCTGACGGCTGCTTATTTTTATCATTTACACCCTTTCCAAGAAAACGCCGGTAAAGTTAAATGATCTAAGTTTTTATTCCAGTGGCCTGACTAGCGTGCAGATCCGGTGAGGTTTGAGGGGAATCGAAAACCTTTCCGCCCCCCACCCAAGAGCTTCTATAAAGGCAGGGTCTTGCCTCCTCTCAGCTGGGCTAGCAGCGGCCACTCCGAATGCCTGGCGCCTTCCACGGGATGAATTATGATCGGATCGTTGGTGGCTGGCTCGTGATGGGTATTCGAAAGTGAACCGAAATTTACGATCTAAATGCAAATGGTTGGATATTATTTATTGTTGCTCTCAGCATGCGTTGTACCCTGGGGCCAATTACCACTGCTCTTAAACTTAAGAAAAAAATGGGAACATAATTTGTTCCACATTAAGAAAATGCAAAATAAATTAGAATGAGAAGCGTGTAAATATAAATACTGCACATAAATATACATGCATACGGGTGTGTGTGTGTGTGTATACATATATTCTGCAGACGCATATAAATATATATATATATATATATATATATATATATATATATATATATATATGTATATATATATATATATATATATATATATATAAATATATATATATATATATATATATATGCACATATATATGCATATATATATATATGAATATATATATATATATATATTTATATATATGTGTGTGTGTGTGTGTGTGTGTGTGTTTGTGTGTGTGTGTGTATTCATATGTATATATATATATATATATATATATATATATATATATATATATATATATATGTATATATTCACATATATATATATGTATATGTATATATTCATATATATATATATATATATATATATATATATATATATATATATATATATATATGTGTGTGTGTGTGTGTGTAAACGTAGATATAGTTACATATACCTACACACCCCATATACAGATTATGATTGCGTGTTATAGGTATAGTTACATGTAGGTAAACACAAACACCCCTATCCCTCTTTGATTGAAAAATTCAAACTTTAATTCCCTAAATTCCGTGAATAATATCACCTATCCCTAATAGAATCGGGATGGATCGAGCCGGATGGAGGAGAGAGATATAGCTAATTAAAAAAAACGTGAAAGTTATACCGCTGTTCATTATAACAGAATCACTGACCTTGCTTTTCATGATAGAAATAGGAATTGCCAAACATACAATTATCCTTTTAAACGAAACGTCTCACAGTGTAAATGTAGTCTATGTACGTGAGGTTTTCACTTCATAAGATCCCCATATGCTTCTTCTTCTTTGTCTTCTTAGTCTTTCAGCTTATCCCTGCTACGTTCAGGGGTCGCCACAGCGGATCATTCTTCTCCACCTCAGCCGGTCCTGCACATCCATTTCTGTAACACCCACTTGGACCAGGTCTTCGTTCATCGTGTCCATGTACCGTCTCTTTGGTCTTCCTCTCTTCCGTTTCCCAGGTGGTTTCATCCCCAGCATTCTGTCCCCCACGTATTCCGCGCCCCTTCTTCTTACGTGGTCAAACCATCTTAGTCTCCACTCTCTAGCTTTGCCTCCAGACCTCCCCACGCTGAACACCTCCCTCACTTTCTCGTTTCTAATTCTGTTCTTTCTCGTCAGTCCTAGTGAGAAGCGCAACATTTTAATTTCTGCCACATCCATTTTCGTTTCTTGAAATCTTGTCACTGGTACAGTCTCCATACCATACAACATAGCTGGTCTGACACAGGTCCTGCAGATTTTCCCTTTCGCTGTCGCAGGTATGTTTCTGCCACACAGCACACCAGTCACTTTTCTCTACCCACCCCATCCTGCCTGAATTCTTTTTGTTACTTCTGTTGAACACCCTCCATCACTGGACACCGTTATTTAAACTCTTCTACCTTCGTAACTTCCACTCCTTGCATACTTATTTTTCCATTTCCCTCTTTTTCATTAGCACACAGATATTCCGTCCTACCTCTGCTCACCTTCATTCCCCTCCTTTCCAATGCAAACTTCCACAGTTCTAGGTTATCTTCCAGTTCTTGTCCACCCTCGCAGCAGAGCACGGTATCATCTGCAAACATCATCGTCTCTGGCGCACTTGTTCTGATGCCTTCCGTTACCCATTCATTATGATCGCAAATAGGAATGGACTAAGTGCGGATCCTTGGTGTAGCCCAACTTCTACCGTAAAGCTGTCTGTTGTACCGACAGCACTTCTGACATTGGTAACACTATTTTCAAGCATATCCTGTATAGCCTTCACATACGCTTCCGGGATCAGTGTTTCCCTCGGCACTCTATCGTATTCTTTCTCGAGGTCCACAAACACACAATGCATTTATTTTCTGGCCTTCCCTGTACTTCTACATCGTCAATCTCAGCGCAAATATAACATCACCTTTATTCTTGCAAATTGGTATCAGCGTACTTTTTCTCCATTCGCCAGGCATCCTTTCTCCTCCAAGCATCTTCTTAAATAGGTCAGTCAGGTACGCCACTCCACTCTCGCCCAAACACAGCCAAGCCCCTGTGGGGATGTCATCTGGCCCCCTCGCCTTTCCCTTCTTCATCCTTCTGGCACTACTTCGTCCACTACCTCTACCACCTCTTGCCTCCTTTCTCGGTAATTCTCCATGTTCATCAGGCCTTCGAAGTATTCCTTCCAACGTACTAACACCTCCTTTTCATCCTTTCTTAATCATCCTAACGTACTGAGAATCTCTAGCGGCCTTTTCCCTTTGCATAGCAATTCTGTACACCATGGTCTCTCCCTCCTTGTTATCCAACTTTTCATACATCTCTTTGTACGACGCCTGCTTCGCTTCCGCCTCAGTCACCTTAGCTCACTTCTTCGCATCTTCATAATTCACCCTGCTTCTGCCATCCTTGTTTATATACCATTCTTTCATTACTTGTTTCTTTACAATTAACACTACCTGGACTGCCTCATTCTACCACCAAGTCTAAGATCCCCACATGCATGGTGCGAATTTTTATAGCTTAGGATTTATATCACCATGTTCAGTTGATTTTCACTTTGAGGTATTGCTCCATAGCGAGGAAAATGATTCATCTGGTGAAGGTGTACGGAAATGATAAGACATTTGCAATGTACGTCTCATGTAGTCATTAGACATATGGAGTCACTCGAAGTAATGTCTCAAAGAATGCCCAAGCGAAACAGATATGCGCTATTGCATATTCCACAAGAAATATTCCTGTTTGCATGGTGCCTCTCTCATGGACCAAAAACTCGATCGTATTCCCGTCCGACTTCATGACGTCAATTTCTCACCAAGCTATGGTCCCTTGAAATTAAGCGACGTGCCCTTCATTGTCATGTATGTGATTGCATTGGTACTACGGACCTGCGCGGAGATCAAACAGTTGTTTTAAAAATCTATAGTATAAAAAAATACATATTTCCTGTGAATGACAAGAAAGTGATAATTGTTTGCGGTTACTTAAACAGTTCACTGAACTCCTTTACTAAATCAGTCTGACAGAGTCAATTTACTGTCATCGTGCAATTTACTTTTATTTCTGTAGAAGTGCCTTGGGTCTTATAAGATATACCGAACTTTGGTTTATGTGGCAACAATTCATATAATACATTAGTTAAATGTATATCATTATTTATGTCAGTAGCATAACTTTTGTTCATGTATTTGTTATTAGTTTCATGAAACGTGCTTTCGTCTCTCTCTCTCTCTCTATATATATACATATCTTTCTATCTATTTGTACACACCCACATCCACACACGAGAGACAACAGTGAGAAGGAGAGAGAGAGAGGGGATGTGTGTATGTGGGGGGGGGGTGCATATGTATCTAAATAATTAGTATTTTTGTTGTTTTTCGTTGCACAGTATTGATCCATCCATGTCATGAATATATAAAAGTCTACCGTAAAGAAGTCAGATGGACTGTCGCCATGAAGCTGTACGCGACGCTCGTGGTGCCGCTGTGCATAGTAGCGACATGGCGCAGTGCTACTGCCAGGGTTCAGTTTTGGGGCTCCGCTGTGGTCTCTGGCACCTTACTTACTCATGTTCAGTCTGCTGAAATCCAGACTAAATCCCGCCTCTTCTGCGCAGGATACGCCACTTCCTTAGCTTGGCCTGATCTCTTTTGCTATGAAGAAGCCCAATGCCTCGTCTACGATATCAAGCTGAATGACCTAACCGCAGTTCCGCCGACTCTCACATCCTGTTGGGCTTTTAAAGGTAGATACTTACCTGCAGATATTTTTTAATGTTTTGTGTCGTTTTTGTCAAAGTCTGAGGATTTTGGTTATATATCTAAATTGGTATATAATGTCATGACCTAGAACAGATCATAACAAAATTAAACATCTAAAATTTGAAAGACGTGTTTTACAATAAATGACACTTCAGGTCCGTGCAGCGTTCCCTTCACGGATGTAGCTAGTGTAGGATGCGTGTATTTCCATCCTGTGGCCATGCCTTGGAATGACGCCCGGGCCTTCTGCCAGGACATGGGGGGCGACCTTCTGGTGCCAAGTGATTACTATGCATTTCTTACTTGGGGAGAGACCGAGGGACTCACCATTGAAGGTATATTTCTATATCTAATCCAAAAACACTTGTCACTCATTTTACGAAATCTGCATGTGTTCCCCCTATTAAAAGAGGGCAGAAGCACAATTTATCATATCTTATATCTAACTACTTCTTGTATTCCGACAGAACCATGGTTAGGAGCAAGTGGCACAACCTGGCTGGATGGAAGTGCCGTGCAAAGGACGGGTTTAAAAGCGGTCGAGTGCCTCAGGTTACATGGAGGCCCAAATGTTGGCGACCAACTCTGCACTGCTCTCTATCCGTTCCTTTGCGAACTGACGCTTCCCTAGGAACATCGGATTCAAAGTTAGACAAATACGATGGACAGTTTTGGTGGAAATAGTATTGCCGTTAAATGTACATGTGAATTTTACCAGAAATGGACAGGAAAAGGAGAGATAGTGACAGAAGATAGGAGAAAGAGGGAGAACATAACCGTGTTTAGAACCCTAAGCACGAGTACAGTTTATAATTTCTGTAGATTTAGAATGAAAAGAATTGGTCATATCCTTATGCTTACTGATCAGCTAGTCCTCTCAAATAATACAAAATGGTTTGGTCATAAGCACTGCCTAGTCTTTAAGTTTCCTTTGGTGGGATTCGCAGTCGACTTTTTACCTTATTAACATAAAAAGAAGACCTAAGTTATGCGTTGTTGCTCACACGGTTAACGCGTATGATAAAAAAATGGAAGTCTGCGGTCATTTCCCTTCGGCCTTTTGACTGGCGAAAGCTTTCGAGACCGCGGGTCTCGCTTCCTCTTGCAGTGGGTCAAGCTGGGTTTCCACTCGCCTGATCTGACACCGGAGCCAGAAACAAGTCAGGGACTGCCATTCTTTGGCCGCCTAGATGCACTATCTTGGGGAAAATAAGAGAGAGGAACCTAGAACTTTCTATGGACACCTTTTTCAGAAATTTGTTTGGTATTCTGCAGTTCTAACATCATTAAACACATTGTGAAGTCAGTGTATTGTGAAGTGTAATGTACCCTTAGGAAGATAGGTGCCGAAGCAGGCTTTTAGTCCATGCCGAGTCTGAGGAGTGAAGGCTGGGCTTCACGTGACTCCAAATTATCTCAATTGCCACTGGTACTTTGCAGGTGAGAAAATTACAACGAAGAGAGTAAAACAGGCAGAGAACAGCCTATGTGCATTGTTCCTTCATGGATCCCAGTCAACATTATTTTAGGTATGATGAACATTTATAATTCCCATTAGAAAAATATTCAGCATGTATGATAATGTAAACTATGCCCAGCAATGTGTGGCATGCAGCAGCTGTGAGTCCCTTTGTTCATGTAAACAGTCTGACTGAATTTCATGAAGATCTCTTGCAGTTCTGACAGGAGGAGGGTAATGTCAGGAGTCAAGAGCCCTATTTTTGCTTTGTCCTTTTCAAAAGTTCCCATACACCCACAAGTATTTCTTACTGTCCCTATGTATACGATTCCTAATTTGCAAGTGTAATTGCACGCTTATTATAAGTAATAAAGGTTCTTCATTGTCAAGACTAGTTTCTCCCTCTTGTTCACTCATGTTTTACCTGTTGATTTCCACTATATATATGTGTGTGTGTGTGCACACACACATATATGTATATTATATACTTTTTATGTGTGTGTGTGTGTGTGTGTGTGCAGGGACCCCTTAGCATAAAACTAGAATGCAAGGTAAATAAATAAATGTACTAAAATGAATAATAAACAGCATTTCTTTGAAAAAATGAGTTAGCTGCCTACGAAAACCTAAGATTTTTTTTCTCCATTTTATTGACTAAGAATAACTTTCAGTTTGTAATACAGATGACAACGGGATGCTGATCTTATATTGTAATAAGAACATAGGTGTTAAATGTCCTTTGCCTTACCTACATTTTTAGCGTCATCATGGTATTGTAGGTCCACTTTAATTATGATTTCTTAATTAACAGGTTATTCAAAATAAGGGGGCATCGCTATAAAATAGATGAGAGCACCCTGCCATCCTATTTCGTGGTGCCCATACATGCATTTTGTTGATTTCTTCTTTTTTTTATATAATAAAACCAGATTTATAAATATTACATTTTTAACCCATTCGCGCCGGGTGTCACCTATACGTGACGGGCCCACTTTGAGTTTACTTGTTTGATTGTTTACAAACATAGATGGCTCCACTTGCACTTGTACTCCCTGTCTCGTCTGTTTACCCTTTTCTTTAATTTACGAAATTATTTTGCGTTATCTTATTTTCCTGTTACTAATGTTTATAACATTAGAGTAATTATAATGTTTATAATAAAAATAACCATCGATATTCATAGCACTAGTAGAAATACATTTTCCCGCCAAATGAAATCCGGTAAAGCAGAGCCATCTAGTGTAGAGAAATTTCATTAAAAAATATAAAAAATGAACACAGCATTTCCCCCATTTTTTGTTCATTTTTACCCGGCGCGAATGGGTTAAAAGGAAGTTTTTAGCCAGGGGCCCCTCTAGCTAGGGGCCTTGGCAATTAACCC